AAAGCCCATTCTATATCCTGGAAGGCTTCTAAAGGTGTCTGCAAAGAGCAACTCATCCTTAGAGGAGAGGTAATGCAGGGCAAGGGAGAATCTTGCAGAATGTTTGTGGCATGTGATACTAAGAGTGAATGACAGACATTATCCATAATTAACCTGGACAATATCAGACAACAGCAGGGTTTCTGCATGCCCATTCTGATTTTACCCCGAAAACCTTTTCCATAAACACTATGATTGCCTCTCTGACACAATTCTTCATTTCCTTGCTAACCAGTTAATATTTTTCTGAAACATGGGGCCATCCTCACTGAACTTGAAGACCATTACTGGTTCAAAGATCATCACAGATCATTGGAGAAAAAAACAACTTAATTACATGATTGAGAGTGGGAATATTCCTGCCTGTAAGGTAGCCTATACACATCCTTCTGCCTCTGTTTTTGAACAGAGAAGTACATGACATTAGGAGTTATTAATAACTATGTGAGGACACAAGGACAGCCACACATTTCACGTGACTAATACAATTCCAATTGTTTGGTGCCAATAATTCAGGCACTATCATGGGCTAAGACAAGTGGGTCATCAAGGGCTCAAGGACAGCCTAGAGGAGAAGATTTTTCAGGCCAGCCCAGCCCAGCTGTAGACTGAGATCCTCTCTCCAAAAACAAACAAGAAAATCTTAGACTCACCTGCCAATGCTGACTATTAAATTCTAACCCTTGAACTGCAGGTTGAAAGTTTTGAGAACTTCCCTCCTAACACACTTTCCTCAAAGCCTCAGGAACACTGCCTAGGAACAGAACAGTGCTCATGAAGGATGTATGGTGCAGTGAACAAACGCAGAACAAGATAATACTTTATGATTCCCTCAAGCAGATTTAATAAATGGCCTGGTAACCAACCCCCATTCAGACCTGTACTACGTGAGGAAAAAAAACGATTATTAAGTGGAACCACAAAGGCAAGGTTTTTGTTATCAGTGGCCTGATGCAATGACAGCAGAGAAAGCCATGAATCAAATATTGGGTCGCCGGTTACGAAAGTCAGCAACATCCTACTGTTCTTTAAGCAGAATTTCTGTTGTGCCATAAGCTGACAGGAGTCTCCTTTATCCACATTTTTACGTAAATTTAAACAAATAATAAAATTAAGTATAAGCAGGATAGGATACAACATTTTCCTTATTACACAATTTTTAAAAGAAAACAACTACCTCAACTAAAAACTTCCATTTTAATATTACAAACAATATAATTTATGGTTTTATTCTTTCCTTGGTTTAATAATTCAGTACCAGAAGACTATTTCTCAATAGGGTGACTGACCTTACCAATTAGATGACAGAATGTCTACATTTATAAATAAAAACATAATTGGAGCCATTATTACTTCATTCCAATATATTGTCTTTAAAATTCATAAAGCATTATTTATGTTCTTAAGATATCTATTTGTACATACAAGTATCAGTATTCAGACTAAGCAGGCCATTGTTAGGAATATAAATATAGATATAAACATAGGCATAGACAGATAGACAGATAGATAGATATAGACATGTAATAAAAAATCAGAAAGAGAGCAAGAATGTTTATGGGATGGTTTAGAAGGAGATAGGAAAAGGAGAGAATGTTGTAATTATATTGTAAGCACAAGTTGAAATGGGCAAATATATAAAATATACTAATGTAGCCTAATCTTCCCATTTACCCCTCTCACAGGAGAATGGCACAGGATTGGGTTTTCTATGTTTATAAAAACTACCTGAAGTATAATTACATGCCAGTTTTTACATATAAGAAATTCAAAGGGTTGTTTTACTTTGGCTTCTCTGACATCCACACTACAGAACCTTCCGTCAACAGCTGGGGGCTTTAGGTATAACTAGGACGCTCTGAGGGGACATAGCAGGCGCCCAGTCTCTGGTTTTCACATCACCATGCTTAGGCAGGCTCACTATGACAGCCCAGAAATGCTAACCAGGCGTTGCTGTAACTGCCTGAGTCACAACACACTCACACAGTGTCAGACTTTTTGCAGCCATTTTCTGAAAAGACTCATCCAGCCCTGAAAGGCAGATGTTACCATACACGTTCTAATTACATGCTACCTAGGTTCTACAGACTAGGGGATAAGAGAATAATATACTTCCAAATTTTTGACCACAAGCCATTTCCTAAATAAATGCCCAAATACTTTTTGAATACATGAATATACAATAGCTCCACTATTGCTCTGTTCAAGTTCTGTTCTATCTTCTCTTCATGCTGCTTCTGTTTGATAAATGGGTCAATAAACACCAAGTCAAATATTCAAGTAAATATATTTCATTGTTATTGGCAGATGTATAATTAACTCTGAGAAAAAAAGAAACAGCAAATCAATTGATGATTACTTTTTTAGCTCTTCCCATTACTCATTTACACTATAATCTTAATTCCACTTTAAAATCTTTATATATACACACCATCTTGACTCTAATTATAAATCAAATTACCTCAACTACAAGTAATGTTGTATGAACTGTGACCCTCATGTACCAGTTTTATTAGTAAGATACAATTATATTATTACCCATATATATGAGCTGATTAAAAGCAATAGACATTTACGAGCCTATATTAATTGGTAATTCCAATGAATGTTTTTAAACAATATGAAAGATTTGCTGTGTTTTCTCTAGCACTAAAAATTAAATCAACATTTTCTTTAAGTATGTATAGATACCAACACCACATTTCTATTCTTAGGTAAAACAGGCTGCTAAAAAAGTATTATAAAGAAGAATAATTTGTCTTACAAAGGAAACATTACAAAGAAAAAAGATTTAATTTAAAATAAAACATTTACAATCAGTTGTCAGGTCAATATCATCACCAATCCCAGAGAAATGTACTTTATACAAAAGCTTACTAAGTGACCTTTAAAAAAATACTGTGCCTGATGAAAGTTTCAGAAGCATTAATTATATGTCATGAAAGAATGATCAAGATGAACTCAAGAATCTGTTTTAATAGAGTTATGTTTTTCTTAATTGTTACTTTTATTATGGTAGCTATTTGGTTTTATATTATATACCACAGACAAAGTCATTTAAACTCTCAACTTCACCTGCAAAATGGAAATGTTGGCTCCTCCCCTCAGAGTTCCTGTTAGAACTAAGAGAGTTAATGCCACCTTTGAATAGTACCAGGCACATGAGCACTGTTAGTTGCCAAGAACCAGGGAGTGTGTGTAGAGGCGGTGATGTCTGTGTCTGTGTCTCTTTCACACTCTCTCTGGACCTTTTCTTCTGTTGGCTTCCATTTGCCAACTTTCACAGTATCATAATTCTTCTTCAAGGACAGACAGCGCATCATGGCACTGGTCACACTTGCCCAGCCCACTAGATTTTGGCACTGTCACTAGGGGATACTTTCTCTTTTATTACTACAGGAAAAAATATTCATTGAGCTCAGGGGCTCAATGAATAATAGAGCCAAGTAATGTTTTCAAAGACAGCCAGTCTCTTTTAGTTGGAAGGGGAGCAAAGGAAAGGCTGGTTGGTGTGTACTCATAGTTAGGAGGAATAAATGCTGGTATTCTATGCACAGCAGGGTGACGGAAGTTAGTAAAGCATACTAAAAATATTCAAAGATATGTAATATTTTCACTACATGGACAAAATAACTGTTGCCACAGACACATTAACCTGGATTTGAGCATTACAAAATGTATATAAAAATACATAGAACCCATAAACATGTACAAGTTTTACTTGTCAAATTAAGACAGCTCCTTCTCTGTTATATATCACACTCTTAGTAGTGAACACACTCACATGCAATGTTTGCTAAGCAACAAACACAAGGAAAAACATCTAAGTGTGATCCTCTCAAAGCAACAAGGCCGGCAGATACCAGTGTGTGCTGATGCTTAGAAGAGGGATTTTATTTACATAGCGCAAGCAAGATAGTAAGGGAAAGAGTGGAGGCTCACTGGGTAGCCTAGGCTCCAGAATTATTTGTCCACAGAAAACTGAAATTCCTCACAACTGTAAGCTAAATTAATATAGTAGTAACTTATAATTTAGTTACACATAAGTTTATATTTAATATAGAATAAACTGAAACTGTTATAGGCAAAAATAGAGCAATTAAGTTAACAGACTACCTATGCACACTGCTTGTTTAGTTCATCTTTAGGTGTTGACACGGTATTCTTGGACACCTGTGTCGGCCTACTCAGAGTGAGGTCTCCAATGCGGTCTCACCATGTCACATCTGACCCCGTCTTTGTGATCAGAGTGCAATGGTCCTCCTGAAAGCACATTTATTGCTCATCTCGGGTCAAATCACGCAACATTTTCCACCTACTGTACACACCAGCCCTCTGCTGGGGTCTCAACGTGCCTGGCAGATCTGCTCCTCCCTTTGCTACAAATGGTTTCCCCTACTACGTCTCTTTGCTTCTCCAAAATTCTACCCACAGTTCAAAACCTTTCTTGAGGCTATCAGACTCCCTTGGTTCTATTTATTAAACCCAGAACTTGACAAATGCAAAAAAAAGAGCAAGAAAAAGATACTTCTGGATGAGACCTGTCCAAAAAACGTGGTAATGAATTGAAAAAGAGAAAACCAAGACCCAGTGGAAAGTTACCCACAATCCATTACACCCGCATAGCACACTTAAAGTATTTAGCGTTTAAAATTTATACGCTGCACTAACTGCTTATTGAACAGTTACTCTTCCAATGACATTGTGTTCTTTCATAAACATTAACCAAACCCACAAAATGGACAACGAATTCGTTATTTAAGGCTGGCTTCCTCGGGGCCACTTCCTATTAAAAACTAAAAGCTATCACCGGGTTCAGAACTTTAAACATTAGACAACACAAAACTACAGTGTATCAGCCTTAAGTTCCCTAGTAGTTACAGGCAGTAAAAAAAATTCTGAAAAGCCAAGTCCAGAGTACTCTCCTGAGTAAACAATTAGCATCCTCTGTGCATCCATACCTTGGATTCCAACTTGATTTTCTCTTGGTTCAGATCCTCCGTCGCCCTCTTGATTTTCTCACGACATCTGGTGATTTTTGACCTTACTGGAACACACACACACACACACACACACACACACACACACACACACACGAAGACCTTTACTCACAGCCACTTGGTTCTCAAGTCCCCAGCGGCAGAAGCAGTTGGCACGTGACTTTTCAAGACTTTCCCTCCCTCGGGGTTGCAAACACCCCTCCCTTCTTGCCACCCAGCACCAAAGTCTCCCCTCCATCCCTCCCCGGGTCAGGCCCCTGACCTTCCCGCAGCGCCCTGTGGCTCTCCTCGGCCTGGTGCTCTGTGAAGATGATGTGTTGGAACAGCGACTCCAGACTCATCCTGGCCGGGAATATTTTATACGGGAGCTTGCAGAACCTGGGAAGCACGGGCAGGAAGGAAAGCTGTTTCCAGCAGGGCTGCAGGGGCCAGGGAGGGGCGGGGCCAGGGGCGGGGCCGGGGCCATGGAGGGGCGGGGCATCAGGGTGGGCGGGGCCACGGCCTGGTTCCTCCTCCTCCACCTCTCCCCCATGCCCTGGAAGGTTCTCGTGGTGGGCGCGGCTCACAGGGGGTCAAAAGCTCTGCTGGGGCCAAGCTCCCCATGGCAGCTGCCCTCTTGTCAAGGGAAAGACGCCCACAGTTAGGTGGGTGGTGGGAACTTTCCCTCAGGGATGCCCGGGTAGACCAGGCCTCGTGCTGACCTCGCGAGAACTCAGCTGTGGCTTCGTGCTGGCCTCGTGCGAACTCAGCTGCGGTCTCGTGCTAGCCTCGCGAGAACCTAGCTATAGTCTCGTGCTGGCCTTGCGAGAACTCAGCTGTGGCCTCGTCCTGGCCTCACGCGACCCCAGCTACAGTCTCGTGCTGGCCTCGCGAGAACTCAGCTACGGGAGCCCTGTGGGGCCATACTGCAGCCGCTCTGTGCTACACAGTGCAAAGTCCCCGCAGTTCTGGATGGAAGCCTCTGCAAAGTGTAACCCTCGGGGCGAGAGCAGAGGCTTCTGCAAGCACGCACCACCCGACATTCCGCCCTAATCAGTCCTCTGTAATCAGGGCAGATCTTTCCCAGTCCCCCCCGAAATTAATCACTGCCCTTGGTAATCAGGCCTTGGTGATATTAACACTTCCATGTCTGCACAGTGTGCTCCACTGACCCAAGTGGCTGCTAATTACAGCTTAAATGTGAAAGGCACCTTTGTGGCTTTTGCGTGACATCTTTCTTTTTTCTTCTTTTAATTAACATTTTTTTTTCAGTTTTGGTAGGTCAAAATATTGACATTGCAATAAACATTTGACTTCATTCTGGATGTAAAACTGGCTCTGGCTAGACTTTTTAATAGTAACTTCTTGTTTGAATGTGCTAAAACTTAAGTAAAATAAGGTAAAGGCAGATTTTTGTCATATGCAATAGGCTTAATTAATAGCCCATTAATGCCTTAATATAATCAGTTGTAAATTTTAACCTATTCTAAATTTCTACCTTAATTCTCATTAAGCCGCGTCTGCATAAAATTTAGCGTTTAAACTAACGGAGTACATGCTGAAACTATAGTGAAGAGGAAAAGAATTCCTCAGAGCTACTCAAATTTTTCCAGTCTTTTTGGGTAACCCTTCTTGCCAGACGTGTCTTATTTACAACGTTGAGGTTTCATAAACAAGGAGTAGCAGTTATTTTATTATATACTATCCGACTAAATGATAATTATAAATCACATAATAATAAATATTCTGTTTCCAGGCTCTCAGAGTCTATGTCACCCGACTCTTGTCATTCCTTTCCTAATATAGTCAAGGAGACAGACACAAAATATCTCAACCAAAAAAAAATGAGCTCGATGAACAATTTAGTTCAGTCACCGACTGAAATCATGATGCATGTAAATCCCCTTAATTTAAGACAAGCATCCTGAGGTAGTGAGACCAAAGTGACTTGTCCACAGTCACGTATGAGGCTAGGGTAGAGCCATACTTCATACGTGAAAGCAAGCTGAAGCCAAGAAATCGGGGATTGGGAGCCGTGAATTCAGTGTTAGATTGAGCTGTAATTTTCTTATTGCGTCATAAGCATACGAATTTACCATTTTATTTATGACTTTTCGTGAATATACTTTGTAACTGGTGATCCTCTATTCTGTGTGTGTGTGTGTGTGTGTGTGTGTGTGTGTGTGTGTGTGTAGTTCAGACATACAGGAAGGAACTATTCCACCTAGTCAAGGATGGAAGATGGCACTGATTATGGTCTGAACCATTTTCTCTGAGCACCCGTGTGTGTGTGGGGGTTCCTAAACTGTGTCACAGTGGCCAGAAAAGGAACTCCTGGAGATACAGCACATCACTCATTCACACTGCCCCCTTCAGAGTTATCTTGCGTGGTCTGTGAGGAGCCATTCTCACAGAAAGGCTGGTTTTCAGCAACATTGTGCTTTTTCAACATTACATTTTTTTTAGTTACACTCCGACTCCATCTGCGACTGTACCGAAACTTGTCAGAGTGAATTCTGGGAAGCCTTTGGAAGCCTGCCTCCCGCTCACACACGTGAGTAGCGAAGAGAAGGATAATGCAGAGAAATTCCATCGCCGTGCCATGCTCTGCCGTCATCTTTACACCCCAGAACATTCTGGCACTTTTAAATCTTAGTAGAATCTTCTTAGATGCATTACCACTATAGACACTAGCTGTGTTTTAAATTTTAATTTTGTTTATTGAAACAAGCATAATTATGTAACCCAGCAATTCAAATTTTACCATTTTCATAATAATGAATGGAAATAGCATCATGTTAACATTGTAAAACCTAACTTTATTCTTAAATTTTGTATAGTGTTGAGACTATTTTCTCTTACAGCAATGCATGCTGATTACATCCCATAATGTACAGAGCAAGGTTGGCATTATTTAAATTTATGCCAAATAAAAATGGTATACCACATGATAAAACTTTGTGGGCGTACTATTTTCTGAAAATGTATCTTCTGAGTCTAAAAATGGGAAGTGATTCATTCAACAACTGTTTAATGAGTTTCTGCTTTTCATTCAACATTCATTCAACAAATATTATTGAACATCTCCTATGTGCCATGTTAGAGAAACAACCACAAGATTTAATAAAAACAGAGCTACATAAGAAAACCATTTTTCTTCCCCTGGATAATTCTAACCTCGTTGGAGAATTATTATATTTCCCGGCACTTTGACGGCAGGATAAACAACTGTTTTCAGATGGTTCAGCAGATGTTCTCCAGAAAGAAGTCAATTATTTGCATTATGACACCCACATATGATTCCCAGACCCGAACTTTCCATCTGTGCACGTTTCACCGAATTGCCTACCTATGGAACACGAGTGAAGATCATTCATTGTGCCTCACCCTCAGCATTCGCTGTGGTCGCTTAGCACCTGGGCTATGCAGACATCAATAATTGTTTTTGCTAGAAGGCCTCATATAAGGCTCTATTGCTCTTGTGATTTAAAATGCATTTCTTCTTAGATTGATGACTTTTCTAACCTAGGCTTGCAAATACTCACTAGCCCAGGGTATATATATTGCAAAGAAAAGAGGAAAAGTAATTCATTTATTTTATGTTTTTTCTTAGGGCATCTACCATAAAGAAAAAAAATATTGTGGGTTCAACCAAGTTTAACAACCATTCATTGAGTATCTACTAAGTTTGGGATTCTCTCCTGGGTATTAAGAAGGCTACAAAGTTGGAAAGATACCAGCCCAAATAACAGCCCTGTCCTGCTGGAGGTCGCAATCTACCCAGTGAGGCAGAGGCTACACAAATAACTTCAGAATAAGCACTATATAATATTTCCATACCTGTGCTTTTAAAATTTTGTAGATGAGAGAGAGCATGACTGATATAGAGCACCTAGGTAGACTCGCCAGTAGAAGTAAATGAAAGTCACACTTTTAACAGAAAGGAAAGAAAAAGCAGCAGAAAGTCATATGGGGCCAATATTAAGTATTTTGCATTTTTATTTATATGATATAGAATCATTTAATGCTTCCAGCAAGTGAATGGAATGTCCACATTGGTCTGCTGAGTAATTTGACCGCACTGGGTTACAAGCACTAAGAGAACAAAACTACTGTTTCGCATGTTGCATATTGAGTAGTATGCTGTCTTAGTCTATCTTGGCCACTACCACCAAGTTCCATAAGCTGGGAAGCTTAAAAACATTGGAAATTTACTTCCATTTTGGTATTTATTTCATTTTGGAAGCAGTGAAATTCAACATCAAGGTGTCTGTGCATTCAGTATGGGGCCCATTTCCTCATTCATAGATGCCTACTGTCTTCACTGTTACGGAGTAGGCAGGACTAGTTAGCACCGTGCAGCCTTTTCCATAGGAACGCAAATTTCAATCATGTAATGCCAGCCCTGGTCATCTAATTGGTTCATCAAATTGCCACAGCTTAGGCGTTAGTATCAGACAAGTGAGGCGTGGAGGGAGACGCAAACATTAGTGGCATAGCACTCACTGTATGCCAACCACCGTGGAAATCACTGACGGGAATGAGTCATCATAATCAACTCAATAACCCGATGGGGACAGTTCTTTATTGTTTGGACCACTGGGCAGAGAAAGCTGGGTACGTCTTCCATAGACCAGGAGCAGGATGGAAGTAGCAGAGACAGGACGTGTGTCTCCATCACCTATGACCTTCTTTGGTCTCTGAAACGCCAAGAGTAAAGGTGTTTAGAGCATCTGTTTCACTCAAAGGTAGACAACTCTACAATTGCTTATTGTTAATTAATACTTATGGAGACAATTTCATATATATATATATATATGTGTGTGTGTGTGTATATATGTATATAGTAGGAATTAAAATAAAATACGACTGAAAGAAATTCAGCCGTGAGTTGAAGTTGGTGATACACACCTTTAAATCCAAGCTCTCAGGAAGCAGAGTCAGGCAGATCTCTGTGAGTTTGAGGTTAGCCATGGTTACAGAGAAAAACCTCTGTCTCAAAAAAAGAAAGGAACAAAGGAAGATAGAAACAAAGGAATTAGTAACAGGTTACCTGTAGAATTTAACCAGCTGAGTATCTTAAGTGTGATGCTAGACTAGAAATCCCTGAGAAGTGTTGCATTAGTTCCTTGGTATTTACATCAGCTTCCTATTCGTCCAGCATAGGAACAGCACCACACTAAAGGTTCCAAACAAGAGAACTGTGTTCTACCACAGCCCAGGGAGCTGCAGATCAGAACGAGCTGGCACAGTCGTGCTGGGACTCTTGAGACGTGGGTCTCCCATCATCTCTTCCTCTGGTGTCATTTGGAATTCCCCCCATGTGCGCCCTTCTCTTCCCTCCTTTCTCCTTTGAAGGGTACCAGTCATCTTAGGTAAGAGGACTTGAGCTCACCACAATGACCTCATCTCAGCCAATCATACCGGCAAACGTCCCAGTTTCCAGTGCAGTCACATTCTGCAGTACTGGAGGCAATGACTTCAACACATCCCTTGAGAGGACACTCCACGCAGAACAGACCTGAAAAGTCAAGCTGTAGGAAACAGGCTTTTAAGTTTTTAGTTTGGTTTTTGTTTGTTTGCTGTGATTTGTGTTTACCTATTTGTTTGACAAATAAAACAAAATTTTTTTCAGTATTACAGTCAAAGCACGTTAGTGGTTAGAAAAAAAGGGGGGGACTTTAGGAATGTACTACAGGGATGGAGAGACGGCTCATTGGCTTAGAGCATGCACTGTTCTTGCCCTGGAACAAAGTGTGTTTCCCAGTGCCCGCTCTGAGTGCCTCAGAACCACCTGTAACCCCATCTGAAAGGGAATCCAATACCCTGGTCCCCACGGGGACCTGTACCTGTA